TACAATGGCTCGACGTATCTAGCGTTCACGAGGGTAACAATGATAATGCGAAGCATGCCCTGCGAAAATTGTCCGCGAAGCTCCGCAATCACATCACGACGGACCCAACGTCAAGATATTGTCAGGCGACGGTGTCGGCGGAATTCTTCCGCGCATGTCGCCCCTCCGACCCATTCGAAGCCGAGGCGATGTCGATTCGATACGAATTCATAACTTCTCACATCACATGGTTCGAAGATCTCGATCTAGCCGGTTCGGAATTGAAAGTCTCCTTGTCGACAGTCGAGAAACTGATCAAGCGGTCGCACCCTGCTGCTTTTTGGGACGGAGTCTCGTTTCGATTCCTGGAGCTCGTGGAAACTGTTCTCATTTGTTTGAGTGTGCCCGTGAATAGGTCGCAGCAGCACGATCTTTTAGTCTATATTCCGACGTGCTTCGCGACGACCATAGGTCGATAAGGGAGAGCAACCTTTCTATGTACAACATAGGTAGAGCACCCAAGCGTTGTAATGCCCAGAACATTGTGATGCGACAGATAAGTTAAGTCAGATAAAAACTCCGAGGCGAAACTTCGATGTGTTGGGAATCCGTGAGGATCCCAGTGGGCGTTAGCTCACAGAGCAGGTGCTCAGTCGGCAGAAGTTCGCTGTCCGGGGTTCAGAGTAGTTTCGGCACAATGTTGAGATGATCTCCGAGGGTCAAGGGCTGGTAGGGAAGGTGCTTCTCAGGAATGAGGACGCAAGGATTGCGTGTGACAGAAGAATCTGTATCTGATGTTTATTTCAATACGGCTTGTATACCGTCCGGGTTTCACAGACCCTTACAGTTCTACAGAGAGCTACAGCCGGTCGAACGGGATGGAGAATTCGCCGTCGAGAGGGACGTCAGTGTATTACAGCGTCAATTTGAAAGTGAATGAGCATTCCCAAGTTTGAAGACCTGATGTGAGTTCAATGAGTTTGTGAGAGCTAAATGTGACAACTCGGCCCAAGTACAGCGCTGAATAAGATGTAGTTCGTCGATCGAGTCCTCTATTTTAATCACGGCGGATATGCAGTACAAGGCTTCTTTTTATGAAAGACTCGATTGGCTTTTTTTCCTCATTCCATGGAAAGATGACTCGAATGCACTATTGGAAATTGGAATGAGCAGATCCGCCGCCCGCCCGATTTAGCCTTATTCTCGGCTATCCTTCTCGGACTTAATATTGTTGTTGTTCACCATTCTTTCTGGACCGAGTTGATACGACTTGATCGTCAAATCCCCCAGTGTGAAGGCTCCAGCGTAATTAAAGGAAGCTTCGAGAATGGCTGAGGAATAACTAGTTTCGATGAATATAGGAATCTCGACGACAGACTCATCAAACTGGTAGATGAGCTAGAATCCAATGAAATTTCGCTCGTTGGGTACGTTCACCGAGAGGGTTTTGATTTGTACTCGCAAGCATGCGAGACCAGAGCGGAGACTTCGTTACCTTGTATACTGAACTTGACCCTTCAGATAACTCAAAAACCATTGACAGATGAAATGATTAAAACCACGTCGGACGAGGATGCCTCTAAAGGTCGAAGCCTCCCGAGTTCATGGCACGGATCGGGTTCATATAGCATAGAGAGACCGATCAGGGCATGTATTCAGTTCTGTGACGGTGATTTGGGGCCGCTGAAAGACCCCGCTGAAACAGCGGCCAAGAAAATCGGGGAATCGAGAACCGGGGAATCGAAAATCAGGGGAGAACCAACGAGGACACCTGTCCCATATTCCAAACATTCGAAGAGACCGTGGAGCATGTTATCTTCGAAGGCAACGACGCATACCACACGGCCGAAGATCCCCTCTCGAGATTGGGCCTCCGAGAAGGAACGTAGAACCTCTCGATCGTGTGAAAAAACAAACCTATCCTGGAAAAACGGGAGAAGGAGACTGAGGGTCTGCGAAACAGCGCAGCGCCTATCATGGAAGGCTGATGTGTCAACTTGTGACGTACATGGAACATGCATTTGGATGAATAAATTACCCTAAACATAACTTACTCCACGAGCGGGTCGCTGAATTCTGGCTTCGCTGTAGGCGATACCATGTCCAATGCGATAGATCGGACAGTCTCGTATACCGGACACCTCACGTCGATCTCGCTACCCAGCGGCAAGATGCGACTTCAATCGGTCCTTCATTACTTCAATCAATGGAACTCGAGCTCTACTCCTGCAGGAGACGTTCTTCGACATTCAAGCTCCGATCACATTCGACGATAGAACCTTCCAGGGAGCAGAATACTGCGATACAGTTCGAGGATCAATATCAGCAAAGATGTCACTCAGTTCATCCCGGAGCCCAGAACGAGGTATTGAGCTCAAGAAACGCGACACCGTCGCAGATCTCGCTCTCAATTCTGTATCCTCAGGCGGAGAATTCACCCCTGCGGCGGAAACTCGTTGGTGCATTAAGCTCCTGTTGTGGGGCTCTAGTGCTTCTCTGGAGCATCGATCCCGTTCGGCACAGCTCACAACGGTAGGAAACACTCCCGAGCCCCAATCGAAAGATGCCATCGTTGTATCGCGCTGAGAGAGTGAAGCCAGTCTCCTCGGAGGAGCGTCAGCGTAGACTCCAGCTCGAGAGCGAGCATCACACCGAGCGAATCCAAATGGCGGGCCACAAAAATATTCGTGGATCGTCCGCACTGGTGCCTTCCCGGCAGCGGATAACACGTCAGCTCATTCACCCAAAGCTCTTCCGATTCCTCTTCCGATTTAACATGATCTCGGACATCGCAACACGAGGCGAGGAGAGAATTGGATGGCATCATCGCGCTCCGGACGTGGCAGTTCCTGTAGGAGCTGATCTGAACCATAAGTGATTCATATGGCCTCCCGGATCGTGGGGAAATGAAGAGCACAGAAACAGCCGAATAGGTGATTCAAAACGTGATTAGGCTGCTCCCAACGTCGTTGTCTGCGTATTTCCATTTGTGGACCTTTAGGAACAAAATTTCGTCGTGTTTTGGAGAAGACGTGTCCCAGTCCGAGCAGAAACCCCTTATACACGCAAGAACAGTATACAGAAACATGACTCAATCGGGACTCACCCAACCTTCCGCATCTTCACCGTATACCCGAACCGCTCTATAGCGGTGTCGAGAGTCTCGAAAAGCGTGCGGCTGCCCTCAGACGCCCCATTTCCACACCATGAGCCTGGCCGCGAATCGTTGATGTCCCCGGGACGCGCTATTCTTTGCAATGCTCAGGTTCGGAACGAATCGGAACTTCACTTTCTTCTGATACGACCCCTCGAGATGAGCACGCCTGCATCAGTGATCTCATTACCCGCGGCGCTGCGTCTGGCATCTGCAGAATCTCTTATGAGTATTCAGTAATGACCAATAATTTAGCTCAGATGAGCAATAGAAACTGGCGAATGACAGAGAGCTCATTTCCTGTCTGAACTTACCCATGCGATTCTGGAAAGAATCTGAATTCGCCTCGAAAAACAAGATCGTTCGGATCAGCGAACGTCAGATCATTAGAAAATCTTCTCTGCTACAATTTAGTTACTCTTTTAACGCGATAGACGGCGCCGCCGCGGCTGCGCACATCATGGTGGGCGCCCTAGCGCTACTGCTGATCGCGGTATTTTGATCGGCTTATTCGAGAGCCGTTGCCTCCAGTCGAGACTTGAATGTCAGCTCTGATCATTTTGAAAGTATCTGCCGAGGGCTGCCGCCGGCAATGCCGGATCAGTAATAATTGCCCAAAGCGTTGCTGAAAGATGAATGAACGACATTCGCAGACACGAGGCGTGTAAACTACTGAGTCGGAAACAGCGTATCTGATCTAGTCCGGGACTCGAAGAATGCAAAATGAGGAAGACCGATCCGAGGGATTTTCCGGATGTATTTTTCCTTTCTGGAGCCTCACATCGGGATGGCACTCGCAGTAGAATCCGTGGCAAATATTTCTATCGCGGGAGACTTAGGATGAGTGAGCGCACTTTCAACAAAGCCCACATGCCCATACAGCTCGCGACGATGATCTGTCCTTCGGCTACAGATACATCTTTCACTGGCGTTGAACGTATTTTGCTTGAAAGGATGACGTACATGACGACACCCTACGAGCTGTTCCTCGGCTGTCCATCGAAGAGGCTATAGGGTGCCCAATTTTGAGATTTTGGGTCCTCCATCGTATCGGAAGGAGCGATATACACTGGGCTCTCCGTATTCCGTTCACGAAAGTCCGCTCCCATTCAGGCAACCACGACGGCGGGGTCGCTTGTAGAACAAATAATCGATTCGATTTTGCAATTGAAGCATTGTCACTTCAGCGCTAATTCGGGACCGGTTGACCCATACGACCGGATCGCATGTTCGAGAGAAGGTGTGTCAAAGAGCGTACCCAGAATTTTTCGGGTTCGGGGGGGCAGACCGACTTTGGGGGTTGGGCAAAGGTCCAAAGTGGTGACTTGCTCGTATGCTTCAGCGGATGAAGATTCCGGAGGGGGGTCACGGCCCCCTTCCTCTCGAATCGCTCTCGATGTCTCTAATTCCATACATCAACTTCATCCGACGACGAGAGGTTTCGGAATTGGGAATATAGAAACGCCATTCCAATCGGAATCGCGTCGGATTCGGTAATCATGCCCTCATCACTGGCCCGATGCTGACCCGGCTCTCTCCGGCTCTTGACCTCACTCTAATCACGAACAGACTTGGAAACAGTCACCCCGTCAACTCCTTCTCCCTGACAATGAGTCAGCTTGAGGTCATCTCATGCTCTCGTGTTGAGTCAGCCTTCACCGAACCTCCGTCTCATTCATGAGACTAACGCGTAATCAAGATGATATCTCTCGACAAGCCCGATCAAAAGGCGGGGAGAGGCCCAATAAGTTATCAGGTGGTACGTAATTAGGATTCGTCCATCCAAACAGAAAATCATCCGCTTCCCATTCCAGTACTTATCATTTTGTTATTTCGAATTTCTCGACTGAGAAAGTGCTGACACGGTCCCGGGCATTCATTCTCAAATCATTCTCCGCTCCGCTGAGACCTTGTGAGTACTTGCTATACGTTCGGACAGCGCAATCGGGTGGACAGGAGACATGAACACAGATTGGGAACCGAGGTGAGGAAGCGAGAGGGCTCGAGAAGGCTCCCGGGAACGTATCCCGATCTTGGATATCCCTCAATACCACATGTATTGAGGCGGTAAGAATTACCTCGATTCTCCAAGTTCGTATATCGCTCTCGATTTCCGACAACCTGCGGTGCCGTGTATCGCCTCGAGCGAGGTCCGTTGCCATAAAGAAGCGGCATTCCCACAAACGAGCTCATTATTAGTTTCCTTATCTCAATGGTACCAATTTGCGGCCAGTTTGCGCACCTCAAACTCCTTATTATCTCAGCCTTATTCGACAGTATCGGCTTCGAGTATAGAAAGGCTTTCGAAAGCGTTGTTCAGACACAACTCGAATCCTTCCGAGAATCACAGCATTATGAAGTACCTGACGGCATGCCTCCTTCTCCTGTCCATCGCCATGAGTGTGATGCCCGCCGACGCTCAGATGATAGCTCAGACTGTTCGGTCTATCGTTGACGGATTCCGCTGTAAGACGTCCTGACGCCCCCCCCCCTCTCCTCTAGCCACAATAAGTCGACTTCATTCGTTGTTCTCGAAATTAGCTGGGATCTGAGAAAGTTTTCTCCTCCGCAGTCACGGAAGCTTTCATCGATCAACTCATGGAATTCGGTGAGTACCATCATCTACCCTGCGGTCGACGTTTCGCTCCGAGAGTTCCAGTGACTAAGAAAGAACAATCGATTCTTTCAGCCCTCGAGGTCATCGAAACGGTTATCCTGACCTTCCTCAGCCTGTTCGTCACTATCTGAATGCTCCCAGGAGCAACTCAGGGGTTGAAATCGATTTGGAGCCCAGATATGCGGTTCAGGAGACGCGAGCAGCGTCGATCGTCAGACCTCTCAAATCTATCCAATAAATTTTTTTGCACGCATTCCGACATTCACGCGTCACGGAAGACGCCTATAACTAGGGACAGAGGGACGTAAGGGGATTAAATGCCGCGTGAGGAACGCCGCGCTGACCGCGAAAATTCTGCTCGGAAGATCACCTTTCGCTCGACGTGATCTTCGAGGAGCACTCCTCCCAGAGACGCGATCCATCGAAGAACTTCTGTCCCTCTCTCCTACATTTACGCCATTATCAGGCAATAGTCGGAGATCGATTGGTAGAGGAGGCTCCCGAATCTGGTCGCGGGATGATTCTAGATTTCCAGATGATTGTGCTGATGGAGTCACGTAACGAACTCATATCGAAGCGGGTCATTCTCGGGAATTGACTATTGCGCTCGGAACGGCTCTGCGCTCGAAACGGCTCTGCACTCGAACGCCGGCATGCGCGTTAGAAATCCTACGGCCCGGGGCTGGAGGATCATTTCCAGTGTTCGAAAGAAAAATCAGAGGAACTCCCTGCGGTGTGTCAGGCCCGACACCCAGGATTCTCCGTCGTGGAATATGAATCCGCGAGCGCTCGTCCGTCATTCTCGAAGGTTCGAATGGAGTTGTTTCAACAGATGTGATCGAGATACGGCTCCGGGAGCGAATGGGCTATATCGAATCCGGCTCCGGAAACTTCAAACTTGCAGCTCTACTTCCTCGTTCCTGATGACGCTGGAGCTCGGAACACAAGAGTATCATCTTTATCTAAACAATGACACTCGGAACACTAGCGACTCTGCAGAAGGCGGACGGATCACTTTCAATAGTCCGACCCGGTCGAGGGAACCTACTGAGCTTCTCCAACTTCGCTGGAGTGAACAATCTCGGTGAGTCGACGCCAGGAGAATCTTCACTGAGGAGCTCTTTCGAATCGCTGATTCAGAATTGGATGGAGTTTTACGATGCCGGAGATTGAAATTTCCCCAGAAGAACCCCAGACGGAAAATTCTCCGATGGAACTCATCATGGAAGCGCTCTAGAGGCCCACTACTCTGGGTATCGACGAGTACAGAGAAATTGAAGCAATCACAAGTCGAACCCCTCTGAGAAGGCATCGGCATGAAGTATCTGGCGATCTGCGTTTTCCTGCTTCTCGTCGCTCTCAGTGTGACAGCCCAGACTCCCCGCAGCGTATCTCTCGACGATAACTCGATCAGAAGCCTAATCAGGGTGATGCTCTCGCTTTTCGTCCTTTTCTCATTGATATTGGCACCTCGATATTACGTTGACGATACATACACCTAAGCACTGTTTTGTCATCCGCAGCCGCCGATGCTGCCGTGAATCAGATCAAGGAGTTCAGTGAGTTGTTCCCCCGATGAGAGCGGATGAATTCATGAAGAATCCTCACGGGGGACGATTGATGAATCATGAGTAATTGTGGTCCCTCTCCGGAATGAGGGACACCATATCGAATACTCATAGCGATTCTTTCGGAATGCGGGCTGCTAAACATACGAGGCTTTGTGGTACGGCGTTGTACTCAGTAAACTAAAGAACGATTCAATCAATTTTGCAGTCGCCGAGAGCGTCGATAGCATCGTCCTGAATTTCCTGAGTCTCTTCGTCGGGGAGCCTCCAATACTGAGATCCAGGTTTCAGACGGGACAGAATCGCACAGACCTAGACGGAGGCTCTCCGATTCTTCCGAATAAACGCATTCCGTACCCATGACCGAATCCATCAAATACTTATCTTGACATCCGATAGAGCTGTCAAAAACACAGCTGTTTATACATGTATAACACATGTTCCGAGCGAAATTATCGAAGCCTCCCTTGAATCCACCATTTTCGACATCAAAAAGCTGATAGAATCGACTTTTTTTTTCGCGGACTTGATATAATTGAGGTTCTCCTGTGCATTCTCTCCAACGAGCCCCGACGCGACGTAGGAATCGATTACTTCTCGCTGTGGGCTCGGTATTTCGTGTTGCTGGTGGGCTTGGGAGAAAGGAGGCCGCATCGAGTGAGTTTGTTACTCGGGAGGACCAGAATGTTCCAAAGCTGGGATCGGTGTTGAGTGATGAGAAGGGCTCTGGGTTTCGAATTAGCAGTGGCGCAAAAGGCTTAGGAGTAGTTGGTCCAGAGTAAACATTATTCCACACGAACGGATCATCCAAGTTTTTTCCATATATCTTGTCAATTGCCAGGTCCATGTCTCCGACACCGCAAGACGTAGGTCTGTCTCAACATTGGAACGCTCCCGCTTCCTCGTTCCTGTTCGCGTCAGAGGTGTAAACAGCAGGAGATCCATCCAGATTCAAACAGGTGGACTTGGAATCCATCTAAACAGTCGACTCCGGATCCATCTGAGCTGTGGAAGAAACGACGGTCATTTTCCGAACGTTCTATGTGGTCGAGGGAAGCTCATTGCGTACTCCCGCACGCCTTCCGAGCTACTGTCTGACGCAGCCCTTGAGTTACACTATTCGTCGGCGTTTACGACTTTATAATTCAAAGTCACGGGAATACACGCTTGTTCTGTCTTCAATCGATCGGTACAGTGCCCAAGGAACGTCCGAGCGATTTCCGAGTTGAGAAGAATGCGCATGAGCTGCAGATTGCACTGTATCGACTTGGAGAGAAAACTGTGATGTGCTTTGTTTGACCGAACGAATAATTTCGATTCCTCCCCTACCCCTCTGCCGCTCGCGAGACACTAGCGTTCTGTAGGCAGTGACTCTCGCTTCGGAAGTCCGACTGTATGTATGTCGTCGAAGAGAAAAAGCATAGATACAAGACATAAGTTTTATTGAACACTCCCGATGATTCGATGCACCTCATCGTCTCTGCAATAGCCTATGACTTGGCATTGGTTGGATCCAGGCGTTCTCTATCTTGTTGTAAAAAATCCACAGATTTCCATTCACGTTAATCACTTACATCGTTACGCATTCTACGTCTCAGTTCACGCTTGCATCTCAACAGCTCCATTCTCTCATTTTTCTTTTCTCTATCATCAACTAGACCAGAAAGCTAATCTCTGGGAGAGGCCGGCGTTTCAAACAGTGATGCCGCATGACACTGACTCCGACAGTCCGATCTGTCCGCTCGATAGACGACGCGTAAATCATTCTCGCCCTTGCTCACGGAGTTTCCAGAACTCGTTTGATGTCACGCTGCTCGATCTGCGAGACATGCTCCTCATGCTTCTCGGAGTAGTTTGAATTGAAAATTGTTTCGTTCGCGGTTCTACTATATACAGAAGGCATCCCCATATCTTACAGCGGAATAGGATTCGCCGAGTTCACAGGGCTCTAAGTTCGAGATCAGACCCTGGGCGACTCGTAATTCGCATCAAAAAGTAACTAAACGGAGGCAAGGCCGAGTCCTGCCGTTGCAACACCCTTCCGGTTTTTCTCCCCGCACATATGTTTCTGCCACTAGATTCGTGATACGGTCCCCAATACGTTCGATTGTGGAGTCGGCATCGTTCATTGTGCCGCCATACTGTTGTTTGTAAGTATTTTGTTGACGCGATTCCTCTCGTCATTGTGTATTTATATACATGATAAGGATGTACAGACGCTAGCATTTGGCTCGAGCGTCCCCGACGGCATTCGTCCCGACGATCATATACACAAATAGCCTAATGCCATACCATTTCCATCCTTCCTCACTACTGCGAACCGGTTGCTCCATCTGTTCCTCTTCTCCTCACATAATTTAATCGGATAGGTAACTTCGAGTTCGAATCGCAAGTCCCGCTTTTTCAGGAGAACGCGCCCCAATTTCGTCATTTCATCTCTCGAGTTAAAAATCCCAGAAAATCTCGCTCTGCGTTTCTTCTGTGGGCTGCATCGGGTTTCCGACATGCACGTGCAGGGGCTGAACTCTCTCGAAACTCTCCGAGGGATCGACCTGAACGCGTTTATCGTGAGTCTCTTTGTTCGAGACTCGGGCTTGCGTCCAACTCTGTCGTAAGGGCTGTGCGACCTTCACGACAGGGATCTTCGGTCGGTCTTTCGGCGGCCGATCTCTTTGGCTCACCGGCGGAGGCAGACTCACAATGAGAGGGCCCTGACACTGCAAGTTGTATCGTTGACCGTTCGGCAACCCCGACGGTGCGTGATGAGCGTGACTTCCACGGCCGATGGGAGGAGGTTTCTGAGTCACAACCGCTTCACAGTGGTGGGCGTCCTGTCATACCTGTAATCGGAACCGACGATAGTTATCAGCTGTGCGGACTTCTTCGAGACGCCATTTTCTGGAGACCGATGATGGGAATTCCAGAGAGACAATCTTGAACGATCGCGGCCCAGGGAGAGGGTCAGGAACTCACCCTTGGATTTCTACTAGCATTATTGGCGTGATGCAGCTGCATCTCGACACTATGTCCTTTGTTGGCCTTTTTGCTTTTCTGTCCTCCCGATTGAGGCTTCTGTTGATTTTGTGGCTGTAGCTGTTGCTGCTGCTGCTGTTGCTGAGAGCGGTTGTAGTGGCCTCGTCCCTGGCCGTAGCCGTGAGATGGCCCTGAAGGTGCAACGTTCTGTGCACTTCCAGGAGCCACCGATGGCCCTGGCGGCGCGGAGGGGGCCACCACCGCTCCCCCAACACCTGGATAAGGTGGCGGAGGTCCGTTTTGCTCTATGGGGGGCACGTAACGTTTCTGGAAAAGGAAAGAACGGATGAGGATCAACACGTACTCTCGGGTTTTCAGCGGGGAGAATATCGGCTGTGGATGTTTGAGATCTTATCTCGAGCCACATGTTGGTATTTTTTTTTTTTTCAATTTTCCAGCGACCTCATTGAGAGGCTCCGCCCAAGACAATGGAATTCGGTCCCGGTCGCGCTTTTGGGCTCTCAGATATACCTTCTGCGGATGCTTACCCTTCGTTTGAAAGTGTCCCCTGGGCGCCTCAAAGTATCCGTTATCCGGAGCGCTGGAGGCATTCGTGGATTCGAGCTCGGCGTATGTACAGCGCAACAGCGAATGAAACACGACATGGTGATGATCAACGAGACCATCATGAGCGACACGGCCCACCAATTCAATGCCACCCACTGGCGTACTGAATGGAGGCTCTGCTTATTGAACAACAGTCGTTTGAGTCGAGCGAGAGGACCCTCGGCATCGACGTTCCGACACTTCTGGAATACGTCACAATAGCCGTGGAAATCATTGCACGGAGAACCGGGACGAAGCTTGATGCCACTGATGTGACGCATGGACTCGATCTCGAACGTGCTCCGACACGTTTCCGACTTGTTCCACTCCTGGCATGCCACTTCGCACAACTTGTCGGGATCGGGTGTTTTGGCTTCGACCAGGAAGCACTCCTCGAGATTGTATTTGTTGCAGATGCTGCCGGAGCATTCGCCGTTCCAGCACACCTGAGTTCCGTTGTTGCACTCGGTCTTGTTGAGCTTGTGAGTCGGCGCCGGACAACTGGCCGAGTTGCCCTTGCAGTACGACACCTCCGTGCAGTCGGTCTCCAGTCTGCACGGTTTGCCGGAGTTCTCGAACTCACACCGAAGGTTGCAGCACGGTCCTTCACTCGGCGAACAGTGCGCAAACGTCCGTCGGGTGCAACCTTTCTGGCGCTCGCTGTTCTCCCGCGCGAAGCAGCACGACTCGTCGCATTCCCGTTCGTCGTAGCCGCAATCGCACTCCTCGTTGGCTTCGACGATTTTATTCCCGCAAAATGGTCCCTGGTACTCTTGGAAGCAGTTGTCTTTCTGCTCGCCTTTGAAGATCGCGTGGAGAACATTCGAAATATTCGCTACTGAGCAGTCTGAGAATTTCTGGTTGTTGGCCTGGTGGCCTTGAGTGGCCGATGCATACATGATGTAGTTTCCGTTGTGTCCTCCGGGGACGCAGCGCGACGGGAAATCGTGCGGCGAGCCGAAGTTGTGACCAATCTCGTGAGCAAACGTGATTTCGGAAACTTTCAGAGGGATTTTGGCGTTATGGTTGAGAAACGTGATGATGCCGGTGTTCAGAGACCGCCGTACGTTCTCGCTCCGTCCATTGTTGTTTTCTGAGTAGGTTTTGTATTTTTCACAGATGCCTCCCGACGCCCCGTTTACGGAAGCAACCCAGGCAAGGCCGAGAGTGCCGTGTTGAAAATCTCGGAAAGTCCAGACATACGCGAGGCAGAAATCATCGTGATTCGCCAATGAATTCAAATTGAGAAAATTCGATGCATCTAGATTCGCAGCACAGAACGGATTTGTATATCTATTCGGGCCGTGGCAGGCAGTTGTGTCGTTGATTCGAATCCTCTGAACCGCGAATTTGATGTCTTTGATTCCGTTGAAGTCTGTGTTCTTGTAAATACGGGAGGCCGCTTCTACGTGTTGCGCAATCAGGGACGATATCTCCTCGCGAGCTTTCGCGCTGTCCTTGCCTGTTGACATTATGTGCTCCCATAGAAACGTATCCGTCTGCACGAATAGGTTGCAGACCTGGAAAAAATCGGAGAACTCATGTCAGCCTCGGACAGACTAACGACCAGCTCCATTCCATCGTTATCACCACAAAAGAGCCCGATATCCACCCGTAAGTCCGTCATATCGCTTCGGTGCTGTGATTAATATGCAGAAAAGAAACGGAAGATAGAATTCGAGATTCGGAAGGTTCGATTCGAGACAAGTTTTGGAACAGATAACACTGGGCAAGGCCTTGATTTAACAGCTGGGTAGTTCATGTCCTGTGAAGAAATACTTACGCGTCGATTGGCACTGCTAGCGAGCGTAGCATGCGGTGCGCGCGTATACTTGTTGAGTGGACTTTCGCTGTAATAGTATCGCTGTTGGCTGCCGACTCCATAACTGGTCCTAGCGGCCGAACGACGTTTCTTGCCCGGCTCGTCGAGGAGCAACGATCCCTCGAAGTCCTCGTCGTCCTCGTTCCTGAACTCATCGAAATGCGGAATTTCGGGTTCGTGCCTCTTCCGGCGCTGGCTCTTGGCGTCGTCTTTCCGATCGTCGACCACGGCCGAGTTGGCTATCTTCTCCATCCACTTCCTTGTCGAAGCGTCGGTCGCGCCGCAAGCTGTCAGAATTCCTTCGGGTTAATATGCATCGGATTTGATTATCTCTCGGTCTCTCCCGATCGCCACTCGGAGTCTGCTGCGTCGCGCAAGCGCGACGTCGCTGTCCGCCGCGATCCATGACAATGGAAATCTCCAACCGAGTGAGTGAATGAGTGAGTGGGAGAAGGAATAAGAGATGATGGAAACACTCACTCCCTTGACTGTCCTTCGAGTGGTCAGGCAGTTCGACGTTGGAAGCTGCATACATAATGGAATGATACTCCGGACCCAGCTGAGCGCCTGATTTTTCGCTCGACTTGATGCCGTCACTGCTCTCGGCCTCGTGGATCTTCGGTCGGTGATACGCAGCCCGCTCAACGTAATAATGTTCCTTGTCCTCCGACTCGATCCGACCCTGATTTCAATCAAATCCTCATCATGCATCACATAGTAAAATCATGAGTCGCGGGCGAGGAGTGTGGACTCCAGCTCGACATCGGAGATCGATCGAGAAAATACGCAGCGCGTACTGACGTACTTACCTGGAAGACTCCATCGTGGATACTGCCGAAAACGTAACTCTCCTTCTCACCGACGATTTCTCCCGAATAGAGGTTGTCGGTGTCAACGTCGAGTTTTCGACCTTCGTGGTCTTCGATGGAGAGGTCATTCATAAACGCTGAGGTGTCTCTTTTGAGCCGCAGATGGAAGACTCTATTGTGCGATTTGAAGCGCAGATGCAGAGCCACATCCGTACTTCGACGCACTCGCTGATGCCGTTCGTGCAATTCTCTGTCATCGTAAATCACTGGTTCGAAATGCCTCACAAAACGATTTAACCGTCGCAATCCGTCACTTTGGAATCCATCTGGAAGGAGAGGAATCGAGTGAGACGAAACATTGGATTTCCATCGCTCTCGAGCAAGCGGTTCTGAGAAATCCCCCCCCCTCCAAGCTCTCCGGCCGATCGATACGTCGATGTACCCGCTGCTCTTCTCTGACAGGAGCCGTGCCGATATCGTGTTTGATTGAATTCTTCGTCAGTGATGACTAGTCAGATGCGATTCTGATGATCGAACTTCATTTACTTAGCGGAAGCGACCCCGGAGACACTGATACTGACCGATCGGGCGGATGCTATGATGACGATCACGCTGGCGATGATCCAGCACAGAGTCGTGTCAAAAGCACTGCACGGTCAAAATGTCGCTGACCTCGGAGCGTTGCGATATCGTCACCGAACAAACGCCGCCACGCATTGAACTATGTCGCGCCGCGAGCTGCTCAGTGGAGGTAACCCTCAACGTGGCAGCGTGTCAACAATAATAACAACTGAACCAGCAGTAAATAAAATAGTGTTCAACCTCGAACGCTGGCTGCTACCCTGGAGGGCTCCCGGGTTCCATTACGGTCCTCGACGATCATCGAACGACCAGTATGGATTCCTATGATAGCCTGATTAATGAAGCGCTCGAACAAGTGACCCAGACGGGCCGTCAATCGCCCACTCGCGTTTCTAATCTTTCCACGGCGAGTGGACTCCGAACGTGTCCGATTTTCGAGCCACCCGGAGAATAATTATTCATTAATTATTATTATCATCATCATTATTCGAGGATGCATTCTCGACGAATCGATTGTTTCAATTTCACGCAGAGGACAATACGACGCGGTCCTCTTCGTCCGCACTCCGGAAACGGAGGGATCGAGACGGAGCAACGGACCTCGTCAGTTGGATCCATCGAATTCCAGAAGCCCCGACTTCGCAAGAGATGAACGCGAAATTCAGCGACTTGGAAGAACCGTCGCGAAAACAAATTCTGAGTTTCAACGCAGCGATATTCAATTTGCGAAATAACGAGGAATTTGCGGATAGGTTCCACGAGCGTTCGCACCCGAGTCACTTCGATCGAACGTTGAAATGCTCTCGATAGAATGCTCGCCGGGTAAGGCACGATGACGGCGTGGGAGCTCGCGGGTTTTGTCTCCCTCGGAGGAAGCCTCTTCTCTCTTCGGGTCTTCGCTGCCCTTTCTCATCAACGGCCTCCGGAGGGCGATTTGTCTACATGAATATTTCTGAGGAAACGCATCGTTTCCACAGGGTGCGACTCCTGAAAAGTACTTGAGCAGCGGCGCGTTCTGAACTGTCGCCTTTTCTCTTCTCCATCGGCATCAGCGGATGGATAACGTGTCGTCTGCTTCCATTCATAAAGGCCATGCCCTTGTCGGCTTCCCCTAGCTGACGGTCACCGGCACTGGCAAGCATTCTGGCATCGACAGAGCACAAGCTCGGAGCCGCTAGTTAGAGCCGCTGTCCGAGCCGGCGAGTCGAGCAACAGACAACCAACCAAGCACCAGTCAGCCAGCCGTTCAACAAACCAACTATCCAGTCACACCGCCGGCCAACGAGCAGAGCAGATCGGGCAATGCTCTGAATTGTTTCTATGGATGTACGCTGCTGATCCTGCGATTCGTCATGGACCGTATGGCGTCGTCTAGGATCTTGGCGGATCGTTTCAAGTCACGCCCCGATCGACTCAGATCCCCCAGGATCCTTGCTCGTCAATTCGGAAACCGACAAACAACGCTATCGTATCGAGGATGAACTGGAAAATTCCGACGATATGCAATCCAACAATGGGACGAAGGATGCCATGTGAAGCGAATATGATTTTCCCGCAAATGGGGAGGCGCGAGCTCGGCGTGATGGTCGCGGGATCGAAAGAAAAACCTTGGCTACGCGAAAAATTGAATCGTCAAGCTGAACCATGAAGATGTAGTGTCTTCGAGTTTAGCTGTCGCGAATGGCACCAACGAATCGTGCGCTTTTCCGGAGCGCTTAGCTAACTTCACGAACTTTGAGTTTTAATCCGACCCCACTTGACGATTGACTCGTCACACGTCAACTCGTTAATGCTATGTAAATGAAGAAAGTCACAATTTCGTCCCTTGGAAATCGTCAAGCCGTCAGCAAAGGGTTCGGGCAGGCGTCATGTCATCTGTGTCATCATCATAGTGATCGCGGACGGCGGCGTCGGCGGGGACGGTGAAGCCGCAGTCGGAGCCGCTACAGCGGGTACTCACTACAGCACAGTCATCCGCTCCGATTTCCGCTGGGTCTCTTTGTCGGGAACAGGTCGTTTTTCGCATCGATATTGTTGAGCCGAGACGGGGGCAGATGGAGGTGAATCCGAATTCTACCGCATGGCGTTTTGATCCTCTCGCCTACTCCGATCTAAGTTTTCATGACGCGAGAGAATTCCATTAATTAGCTTCAAGCCGTGTGATTGATTCGCGCGCGCAACTCCACGACTCGAGTCGTTGACGAGATTTTCCATATGTCCCTAATTGATCGGAGATGGAAAAGGAGGGACCGAATTCTGAACCCAGCCGAGTAGCAGATGCAGAATGTAAGCGATCAGGTGGAAAATGAGACTCCGTCAGCGCAGGCTTCTGAAGCCATCGAGCCGTTGCGACAAAGTCCGTTATAGCTGATCTTTTCGTTATCCGCTCGATGTCGGTGCCGCTGTTGTTGTCGACGTCCGTGCCGACATTGGTTCGTCTACCGGTGCCACTGCCGCTGTTGTCGATTTTGATAGAGAACCACCCAGGCACGAACCGAGCACCGGTCAGTAGTTTCTGGGTCAGTTTAGTCAGCCATGAGAAAACACCGGTGACTGCGACCGTAGCACTAGCTAAACTGTAACGAATATTGATGTTCTCAAAAACCCTACGGCTCGACACTAGCATGCATCCGTTCCAGGGCGCCGTGGGCTGACTGCCAGGAGACCGAAGAGAGCCTCACGTGAGGTTAACCCCTTCGCAAGCTTACCACCGCAGGCGCGGTGAAGTTCATTTCTATTATTCTCTCGCTTTGCTTTGAAGTTCTGCGCAAAAGCCGCTTTTGCGTGTTTTTCCCCCGTCACGTCCCCTTCTTCTGCGTCTGCTGTGGCCGCCGCCGCCGCCCGACCTGGTACACCGCGATTCGATTCCAAGGTCCCTCCCGACCGTTGGCAGCAGCTATTTCCTTTTTCTCCGACGAACGCATAGTCATCACTTCCGCGATCACGTGTAGCACTCAGTGGATCATTTGCAATTTTACTAGAAACTCTATTGCGACTCTCATGAAAAGATTCTTCGCACAATTCTGGCGATTGCTGGCCAGATCTTTTCTTTTGGCAAAACTCAAGAGGCTTGTTCCTCCTAAGTGGCTTCGAGAAATGCCGGGAATACGTCTACCGGAACGATTTTTCGGGATTGGGTTCCAGTTCGCGTGAAGGTGTCTTCCCGAGCTCACGCGACCCTAAGCTACTGCCCTCGAGCGCCGCGGGTCGGATCCGGGGCCGCCAAAGAGTTGTTCAGCCGCTCGGGAGGGAAGGGAGGGACAGACGGTCCGCTGCTCCAGAAGGAAGGCCAATCCCTAGGAATGGCTTTCTTAAGCTTAATTTCAATCATTCGAAGCTTGACATAAAGGCTGCGTTACGTAAGACAGCATGAACGCCGCCCCACACACTGCTAATCACGCTGCTTCCAAGTCGGGGGTCCATTGTTCCGGCGATGCGCTGCGGCCCAAAGATACAAAGTCATCTAACGGGTCTTCGTCAACAGAATCTTCTTTCGGCCCGCCGATTGGGCTAGTGGTCGACTTCTTCGTTCACTTTCTCGCTCTACCAACGTAATAATCTGCATGTCGAACCGAATAAACTCCACAGAACGCCAGCATCGACGGCGGCAGTGGCCAGCTGACCTCTTTCGCGTTACATCAGCGGCGGGGCCGCAAGATCGCCGGTGACTGTTTTCTACGGCAACCAGTTCGCTCCAGAAATCAGAAGTGAAGAAAGTTCGTCCTACGCTCAGCGTACATACATGACCGAGTCTACGGGTCACCGCGGATCTCGGCGTTCCGCTGCAGAAGAGCTTTGTCGCAGAAAGCGATGTCCGGGGACAAGCATCACGTCACGAGTTGAGAAATACTTCTTCTCCCCGTCATTTCTGTAAGTAGCTCCCCTCACCAGAAGTTCTATCGATTGCACAAGTATCCCACCGGCAAAAAGATCCACGGCACCGCTCAGTTTGGGGAAAAAGCTCATTTCCTCATTCGAAATCCAACGGTCAACTTCATCGGAGTCGTATTCCGTAACTTTTTTTTTTACGCGAAAAATGACGTCAGCATCGTTCGATAAGCGTCATTGAATAACGAATGCTCCTGCGGTAGATCGGATGTCTGGATTGTGAAGAGTCGAAGAAAGAGTTCGCCTCAGACGCTCAAGACTGACTCCCTAGTAGAGTGTATCCTCAGATGCTTCCCGCTTGTGAGCCACAGAAGAACGGCCCGCTGACTCCTACCGGCGAATCAGTTCATTGTCGGGGCATGTTTAGATAAGGTTTACAAGCTCTCACCTTTCTACATCTAAGCGCTTCCATGGAGCGACCACGCATCTTTCCATGAAACACGATGCTGAGCGACAAAAGGGTTCTCTGTGCCGATTGGTTCATCGATCAGCTGGCTTACGCCTCTCCGTGATTTCCCATGACATTTTAAAGGGAGCGAATCGGCACCTCGAATTCGACTCGCGATCCATGCAGACTGAGTGAGCAGATGATCGGCATTCCAGCGGCGGGACTTCGGGGACCAAGTCGAGAAGGCTGCACCGGCTCGTTTCAGGATCGCGAATTCCGCGATTATGTCGCGCATTATTCGAGCCGATTTCAACACAGAACTTCTCGAGCGGAAAATTCAAAGCATCCAACCATTGCATTTCAGGAATACGTTGAATATATATATATTGAATAATGTTCTGGATACGGTAGAGATTCTTGTGAGTAAGGCACGGCCTTTAGTCTCCACCGCTGCGCCAAAGCGGCCTCGAAATTCCTTACGGAAATGTTTTCCGGAGTATTCCCGATTCGAAATTCCGAGAATATGTCGAAATCGATACCACCAATAATGAAAGGAGCCCACTCAGTGAGTTCAACCAGCGCGGCGTCAGGCTAGACTGATTGTAGCGGCACTCAGAAGAGTCAGTCCACGGAATAATAGTCATCATCGCGGTCGCTGTCATCGCCTCCGGGTTAACCCAGCTTTCCGATGAGTCACTTTTATGCGAAGCGTACATTCTGACGTCGCCGGCGCGATTGCCGAGGAATCGCGCGATGCCGTTCTCATCATGATTCGCTAATCATATTTCTTCGAGATGCTTCATTCCCACTCGAAAGTTTTCAGAATTTCGCGTCGCTCGTGACTCCATTGTTCGAGTTCTGGAGCTCCGCTATGAAACTGAGAAGTTCTTCCGTTCCGTTACCAGAACGACGGGATCGAGTATCGCGAGCCTAGAACTCGGGCGGAAAAGCGGACCGTCTTCAACCGATCCCAGCCGACAACGGTCGTCTCCGACATTGTGTTTGTGTCTTTGGGCAGCTGGACGGACGAGTGTCGTTGTGTATCCCAGCGAAAAACTGGACTGTGCGCAAACATTCCTCGGACGATGAAGTCGTTTCTGTAAAACACCCGATGCGCTCAGCAAGTGGTAGCGACTCAAATTTTTAGACGAAGCGGATCACCACACGTCGACCGCTCCGAACCCTTGCCTAGAGGACCAGACGAGAAGAAAGAAAACGAAAACAATCGAAGAACGCTCTTTCAGTTCTGGGTCTGAGCATTCGAGGAATCACCTAACTAGTACGGTAGAGAGAAAACATTCGACGTCGCGTCTAGACCGTCTCGACTTGCTTCCCTACTCCGATTTACTTCCGCGTCCCGGCTCGCTTGTTTCGGAAGAAGAATTGACTTCAGGTCCCCGAGCTCAATATCCAGGTTATAGTCCGACTATGACAGGGATTCTGACTTTCACGACTCCGGGTGTTCGGTTGGACCGCCGGCTGGCTGACCGACCAAACGACCAATCGACCGACCTTGCAAACGTCATGTCGACAGTTGGTCAGCTTCGGTCGAGCGGCGCAAATCGCTCAGATGTCTTTAGACTCTTATGCTAGTCCGAAGTACCTGATCAGAAGCTTGCGTTTTACAGGAACCAGAGGGCAGAGGCGGGCAGATCTTGGAGTTCGGGGAATTCGGAAGATATCGAGGAGAACGCCTCTGTCCCACGGGTCGCTCCCGCGCGGACCCGCAGCGAGCTATGCTCAGCGTTCATATCATATTTTCAAGCATATCCCGGGCTGCTCTTCGACCCTCTCATCCTATACTGAGCAAGTCGGCTGAAGCACTTCTTCCCCCCGGCCGCAGTCTGCGTCATAGCTCATGATATTTTTGCCATGATAAAAACGATAACGCATGTCACGAAGCCTTTTCGTCCGGTATGTTCTACAGATGGAACCGACCAGATGGGGCGGCAGTGCACAGAACGATCGCTATGCACGTGATAACGGAGCGCACCCCGCCCATGTTCTGCTCCGACAGAATCAGTGCTTTTTCATCTCGAATCCACTGCTACTTCTCGGCAGAGTGGGATCCAATTCAGTGTCATCGTCATAGATTGAAGCTTTCGAATTCGTTTCTTGATATATTCACGTTCGGGGACTTTGTTTTGATTCATCGAAAATTGTATATTCTAACACGTCATGCCTCCTTCCCGGATTCTGCTGCGATCGTTTTACTCTTGGAGTACTTTTTCCACTTCGAGCCGTTCTCATGGTAATCATGACCCATGAATGAGAGCCTGTGAAGTGGTTGTCGTCAATTTCTCTTTTCGAAACTTCTCAGATTCTGTCGCTGAATACTGTCGTCGGTAATGTTAGACAGGGCCCCTCCAGTGGCTAGATCCGAGGATCGGTGGTTTATTCTTTTGTAGACGAGTTTTGACGGAGGACTCCGAGAGCGGATTACTCCACAATCGAGAATGAGCTAGAGAAAAAACTTCTGCTCAGACGTGGAAGCGTCTCATCGACGACACAGACGTCGAAACAATGATATGGCCGCGAAGACGGACGAGAAATCGCTCTTTCGGGGGGAAGAAAGCTCGTTTGTAAATTGCTTCTGATGCGACCACACAACAAATCAGAAGTCGTCTTGTTGGTCGCTGTATTTGAGTGACTCGTTCGAGCCCCTTCTTCTAGACCAGATGTGCCGGAGTCGCTGTGAAGAGATTGAAATGGATTCGGCTCCACAACCGATAAATTCCGAGAATTTCCAGGGATTCCGTTATCTTATCCTCGGCCACGAGACTATTGTGCGTTAGAGCGCTCCTGCTCGGGAAAACTCCCCACAAAATAAGAGATTCGAAAGGCGTCCTCCCGGGAAGAAATACTGTTCTTCGCCGGCTTGATTCGATTCGTCTTAATGTCGTCCAGCGGTTCGCTCACACGCTCAAGCTCCCGCACTCTCTAACTCCGGGCCGTAACCTTATTAGCCGCAGTCCGTCTGATATTTGCAGAAGGGTTCGAATGCTCGTTCGTTTGTTCGTTCGCTCGCTTGGCTGCCGCTCGAACAACAAATCGGGAAAATTCTTTGTTTCGAAACCCCTTGGCTCCATATCTTCCTCCGGGAAACTCGGAACTTCCGAGATATTTCTTTTCGGAGGCCCGTGCTCAAACGAGAGCCTAGTGCGAAATCGCCGATTCCACTCGATCTTTCTCCGAGTTGCTTTGCGTAAACCAGCTGAACGAGGTTCAACGACCGAGTACTCTCGGCACAGCGGAGCAGCAGCCGTGGAGCTGAAGTACTATTTTGTTGTGGGTCCAGCCGAAACTCGATCGATTCGCGATCGCTGGTTCCGGAGGAGATCGAGCAACGATTTTTTCTCTCCAACTCGTCATTCGATGCATAAGTCTTACCTGAAGAATGAGCTTCGGTGTGGCCGACGACCAGAAGCACTGTGAAGGCAAACACAGAGATCCCTCCGAAGAGAAAGAACTTGCGAGTCGTTCGCTGCTGTTGTGGCATCTCTGTCTGGCTCCTGGCCAGCGCTGACCTCAGTCTACGCTCGCATGTTCGTTATCTTGTGGACCGACTCCCGAAACAAAACCGTCCCCAAACAATTTGCACAAGTTTCAAATAGGCCAAATCGCACTCCAGCTCTGCTTCTGCTCAGTGGGCTGTTGTTGCTGCTGCTGCTACTCCACCAACGTCGAGCACCACCACCACCACCACTCACTGTCAACCAAGTTGTCTGTCTGCCTCTCTGCTGCCTGCCAGCCAGCCAGCCTTCCTGCCCGTCTGTCTGTCTCTGCCTTGCTGCTGCTGCTGCTGCCTATGTGTGAGAGTGTATAGCCGCCGCCGCCGCCGCCGCCGCCGCTACCGAAGGAGTCCGAACGAGCGAGCAAGCGAACCGACGGGACGAACGAATGAGCGACTGCGACCATGGCGCATGCGCGAGGGGTGGTGGACCAAACGAACATGGCGACCGCGGGAAAGAGAACGACGACAGAACTTGGAAATATCGCTCAAAACGGCTGAATTTTTACGGAATCGATCCTGTTCCTACCCCTTCCCGTCGAGGTCAATCCCAAACATCGGTAAGCGATCCGCTGCCGGCTCCCAAACTGGTTTCGGCGCGATTTTCAGCCTCCGGGAGGCAACACTGGGTGCCTACTCCGACCGGAGAAGATAACGCTATCCGACGGGTTCTCAGCCCTCCTAGATATCTCGGATAACGGTTCAAAAAATGAGCGCGAAATCTCGCACGACGCTGAAACTTTGATTTCGCTCAGGAGTCCCACGACTCGATAACTTATTATATTCTGCTCTCAATTGGGAAATACCGGATGAATAATGGTTGGGACTCGATGAGTAAGTTCTCGATCCCGCCTGACGGCGCCGAGGGATCCAATCGACGGAGTGAGACTGCTCCCGGGATACTCTGGACCGCATGAGGAATACTTGAGCCCCGGTGGAGGACTTATGTATAACCATGAGGAAGTAGAGAGCATGGACTCTCGCGGGTTCATGTCTCTCGCCTCTGGTGCTACTCGAAACTCTGTGACTTCGCCGCGCCGCCGCCTCGGAAGGGCCCAGCTCGAGTGAGAAGATGAGGACCCTCATGTTTGGATGCTTCTAAGAATCGAATCCCTCACACACCGGAGTCTTGCTTCGAGGCTCAAGAACGCTGTCCTCCCGGATCTTTTGACTTTTCTCCGATCGACAGCCTGTGAGCCTTCGAAATCGGGGACGGAGTCTGAGGGGCGCTGATACGTCACGGTGGCTACTCGAAGCCGAGGCTCGGCATCCTGGACTCCGGGCTCCACTCACACCTCGAAAGCGGGGGGAAGGAGTTGTATGCCCGTAAACTTGAGCGGAGACTCCGCACAAATACTGGTCATGAGCCTTCCGCGCAGAGCGGGCGAAGAGAGAATCCGCCCATCTGAATCTCCTGAGTTTCCTCCTTATCTGTCAAGAGCTCCTGCCGGAGAGATAGAGCGTCTCCATGGCCGGTTCCTCATCTCTAATTATGCTTTGCTCTCCGAATGAATGTGAGATATCGATGGATCGGGATACCGAACATCTAAGATGCTCTTGTGCTAGGCACCGGATCGAGTTCCGGTCGTTTCCAAAATTTTTCGTCGCGTAGGATGCCCCCGCACCCAATCCTTGTTGATGACGTTTCCGTTCGCCGGGAGTCTGGGAGGAGGATAGCTCCTAAGTCGCCGATTCCGAGTTTCTCGATCAGTTCTGAAAAATAACTTCTGTCGAGGCGATGTCGAGAGGAGCAGCTAGAAGTGCACCAGCGATGAATGTCCGGACCGCACGCTGATCGTCACGTTCATCGTGCACGGTGATCGCTCGCGGGAACGTGCTTGATGTTCACGCGTCCGATCATTCATTCCAAGAGTGACACGGTGCCCTCGCTGTACTTCGCACCAGTTCCGAGACGTTGCTTCGATCCTCTGAAAAACAGGCAGAATTCCGAAATCTCATCATGTTCCCTCCCACGATCAACTTCCCGAAGATTGACAACCCTTGGAGCAACGAGATGTCTCCGTTCTCGAATGTGAATCCTTCGGACGAAACAAGCTCAGGTTTCCGGACAATTCCGGAGTCCGGTCGTCGGAGCTCCTCTCCAGAACTGATGACCCCTACGGACAACTACCCCCTCGACAACGTTTTCTCTAAACAGCAAACGTATCCGTTTCATCGGACGTCCGCCCCGTTTCCGCGTCAGCAAGTAAGTTATCTTCCGGAGACCGTCAACGCCGCGTGGCAAACAATGTCTCATCGAGTGCCCGCTTTCGAGAAGTCTCTCCCACCGAGGAGATACGTCTTCGAAGCGGCTCACTGCTGCGCGACGCCCAGGATCCGCGTAGTGCACGATTGCTGCAACAAGGAGTCAAATCCCAGGGAACTCCTCGACGATAGACCCGTCTTTCACAGACGAGCCTACCCATCGAGTGCCGCAAAGCTCACTCTGTGTCGATTCTGCCTGAAAAACGGAGAACCCCCCTCGGTTTATTATAGTCACAACCTTCACGCTGAAGACGGCAGGGTCTCGTGTCCCGTTTTGCGGCGGTACGACTGTCCGATCTGCAACAGCGGAGGGGGCGACTACGCGCACACTGTGCGCTATTGCCCCGCTCTGAGAGCCAACATCATGCGATGAGCTTAGCAGATTCGAACCACCCCCAGCAAAGGTTATTCAACTAGCCTCAACTAATTAACTAGAAAAAATTAATTAACTAGAAACTAGTAATCAAGTAGCAACAAATGATCTCCTAGCAACAAATGATTACCTAGCAACAATTGAATTCCTAGCGAAAATTGATTCCATAGAACAACAAATTCATTAGAATTAGGGATTGGTCTCGCAACGAGGACTTCTAGTCTTAGCATTGTAGGAATTAAAAATTTTCAATTAACAAAATATCATCATCCACTATATTGCTTGTGTTATGCCCTCATCTCCCGATAGGGGCTATGGGAATCATCCATTCCCTTGTCGGTAACCTATCGCAGCCACCAAGCATTAAGACCATCGTATCCATTGGGTCATTTAGGTGTACATTTAGCAAATGCGAATTGACTTTAATTTATTTTAATGAATAATTATCAAGAAACGAAGAGGTTTTGTGAAAAATCCCCAGGTTTCTTGCCTCGCTTTTAAATGTTCACAAAAAAACATATCAAATAAGCTTAAATAAAGAAATTGTTACGAAGGATCCATCACACATGATTTTCATTTCAGGCTCCATTGCGGCTCTCGCTTCCTAGAATTTTCCCTGATCTGAAAGTAGAGCAATAGTTCTTCCTCAGAGAGGGAGAGTCGGAGGATGAGTTTCTTTAATTGGAAGCTCGGGATGAAACTGACGCTTTGACGTCATACGGTTCCGAAGAGGGAAACTGTATTGTCAGTAATACAGCGTGCGGAGTGATTCTAAGTATGAGGTCGCGACTATTTCCCGGAGTTCAAAGTTGTCCTGGAATTCCCCGGAAGTTAGTCACAACATACATGATTGGGAATTGTTCGACTCGACAGCACTTGGGAAAGGGTGCCCATCACGGTAGTGACGTTCTGTCGGACATTGTCGAGCCTCTTTAGTCGCTCTCCGCTGCGATCATTCCTCATGACTCCGACTGGGAACTTGAAATATGCTCGCGTCGGGGCCGAGAGTACTCCGAAACTCTTTTGGAGAATACCTCAGGTCGTCTCTCTCTAGCAACCATTTCCCGGGTGAGACCCCGGAGCAGTGTCTTAGTGTTCCCTGTATAAGAGAACTCGCGTCATCGAGCAGGTTTCCTCCATCCCCGATCAGCCCGTGTCCGGAGTTCCCTGCCGCTAAATCGCGCGAATCGGGTTCTCGCCGCGACGCGACGCCTCGTGTCGTACGGGGGTGATTTCCTCCCATCATTGCAGATCTATCTGAAGGTAGAGAGCACTCAAGGAGAAGAGCGAGTTCCTTCACGGATATGGCTCATCCCTCGCGTTCTCGTTCCAATTTGAACGACATCATCTAACTCGATGGAGTCGATGGATTAGGCCCTAATCATTAGGGACTTGAGAGCGGAAAATCATTTTTCCCCATTCTTCATCCTTGAACTCCAGGCACGACCGAGAATCTTTTTGAACTGAGAACAGAGTATGGCCTAGACTCGGTCGAGTCTGGGATTTGCGATCTGTCATTTCGGAGCGAGGTGTCCCACGCTAGTGATTTCATCGAACGTGTAAACTACCTAAAAGGCACTGATGCTACGCGTCTCGCTGAATTTTCGTGGAATTCGGTCGAGGGAAACTCCCGGAGTTGCGGATCATCCAAATATCGTTATACTTTTTCTTGACATCGATGCCTACTCAAGGAGTGACCTGTGATCTATTACTTCATCACAGTCAGAATCAGAATCAGTGTATCGAAAGCTCTGATCGGTCGTAGCTGGTAGCGGAGCAAGCAGCATTGCAGGCGGCCGGTTTTCTGTCTCGAGTACAACTCACCACAGATAGTCATCTGATCGATACTATAGATTTATAGATAACTCATGTACACCCAAACAGACTTAGGGAATCACGAATGCTCCCCGTCCGCCGAAGGTTACAAACTCACCATCCATCAGATCTAAGGTGCCCTGTCTAAGGTGCTCCCTATCCAGCCGAGAGAAAGACTGCTCTTTCGTAAGACGACCCTCAATATCGGTGCTTCTCGGCTACTCTATGAGTGATGTTCCTTCGGGAGAATGATCGTATCTAGCTCTCACCGATGCGGGCAGCAGTTCGTGGGGTCCGCGAGCCACTGTTCCGACTCTGCAGAATTCTCTCTTTCTTATCAAATCATATCGAATTTTCGGAATCTACAGCCTTCGCTCGGAGCATCCGCAGTGATGTGATAAGAAACATGGAGAGATGAATCCCGAGAGCCTGGATAAGGGTGTCGCGAAACGCCATTGTCTTTTCGCAAGGCGAGACACGTTGAGAACCCCTGGATCAGAGTATCTCGCGCCATTTCCGGACATTCTCGGCGTCG